GGTGGGCTTCAGCATTGGTCTGTGTCACAAAGCCATGAAAAGCCTCTGGAATTCAATGCTTCGCACCCACGCCGGACAGTACATTTCTAACATCATTCATCTTTTAATGTTGTAAGCCACGTGCCCCCAGAGCGCTTCCTGACCGGGTTTTGGCAACAAAGGAGCACTGTGTACGTGCGTCGAGCAGACTGCTGCTTTCTTTTGGGCACTAACCATGGCTGCGGGCTCTGCCAGCAGTAAACAAGATGTTCATCTCTTAGAAAGGCACCAAAACCAACAACAACAAAAAAAGAGAGAAGCTCTGGTCCTGCCAGGTGTATAGAAGGGTATCATGAGAGGGATTTCTTTCAGGTGACCGAGACAGTATTTTCCCAAGGCACAGGAGAGAAGGGCTGTGGTCTGTAGAAGCAGATGTTCTTGCGCTGTAGAAGCTGTGTTGTGTAGCTATCACCAAGCCCAAAAGGACGCAGGTTTGCAAGTCACAACCCCTGAGCTCTGTCCCTAGACTGCCACTAACACATTGACCTTGAAAAAGCAGTTTGCCCTTTCTGTAGCCCAGTGATCACCATCTGCAAGATAAGGATGGCAGCATCTGCACAGCATGTGATGCTGGGAGGCTGACCCACTGCTAACGGGGCTGGAGATCCTGAAGTAGGGCTGTATGGCAAGGCAGAACTAACCCGCCTCCGGCGCAGCGCTGACAGAGTCCTTCAGCAGCACCCGCAGGTCTGAGCGGACCGTTTTGGAGTTCGACTACATTACCTTCCACCTCCCTGGGAACCGTGCTTCCCGCACACAAAGAAGCCTTCCTGGGAGAGCCTCTCCACCTGCCTAGGAGCTGCCGAGGGGAAGAGGTGAGCCCAGCAAAGGAGAGGAGAAACAGTGTCATAGTCAGGCTCCCCACCTTATTTTAGAAACATCCTGCAGAGACGGCGACCTCCTGTCACCTTCCTTGCGGGAAAAGTTAGCGTGAAGTGTCAAGCTCAGCTATTTATATTGCTGCTGATAGTCTCGCCTGGCATCTAAAGAGAGGGAAACTTTCTCCCTAGCAATTCCAGGGGAAATAAACTCATATAGAAGAAAAGGATTACGCAGGAACAGTCCTCCTGTCTCTTTGGTGAGAGTTTTCTTGCTGTTTCCCCAAAGGCCCAGCCGGCCCGTCCAGAACGAGCGTGCCCGCTGGAGCAAAGGGCAGCCATGCCAAACGCTCGCCTGTCGTTCAGGGCGTGCGGCATTCCAGAGCGGGTGGGCAGAGCTGCTCCGAGACCGACGGACGCTTTCCCTCCCGCAGAAGAAGGTAGCGTAAGAAAGGATGGCAGCGAGCGGCTCGTTGCCGGCA